GGAGGGCTCTGCTCACTACCAGGAATACTGTTCCTTTTTCCTCAATCGCACTCAGCTGCAAACAGAGCCACAGCTTGGCCCAGGACCCTCTGTCTGCAGCCCCCCGGCAGGACCCGGAAGGTGAGAACCGTTTTCCTTAAATCGCTGCTAACCCGTACCCCGCTCGAAAGGCCGGACCGCGCCACAGCAGCCGCCTTTCTCGCTTGCTGCTGCCAGAGCGGACGCTGTCATCGCCAGGATCTTGCATTTATTCAGATCCTTCAGTTCAAACTTTTATGATCTAGACTATAGTAAGCGCCATATCCACAGAAAGATTGCTCTCCCGTCCACGCATTCACAGGCAGGCACTAAGTGCCATGAAGAGCAAGCACAGCGGTAACATACAAGCGTTTAACACTGTCGTGCCCCGAGAACATTTCTCCTTTTCCTTTGTACCACAAAGCTCTCCAAACACAAATACAAATCCTGCTCTAGAAAACTCTGGTCAGTCGTTGCCTGCCCGGCTTCGACAGCCACTCACCTCTCAGACTGCCTCTTGGCTCCCGTATTCCAGGGACTCCTCTCAGGATACAGAGCAGCCCGGCCTGAGCGGGATGCAGACAGGACCCGACTTAAACTGGATGGAACCAGGCCAGGCTTTGACCTTCATTGGCCACCAGGTAGGGGGGGGAATCACTAACGAGCCTGACTTAAGTAACTGCAAGTTACATACAGCACTTGTCACAAAACAAGGGGTTGCAACCTCCGTCACTGAAAAAGGCAGCTTTGCCAATTCAGACAACCAGCTAGCTGAGAGTTTCAGTCATCCAGCGTTAACTTGTGCTTCATTAAGCAAATGTTCTTTAATGTGCACAGAAAACCCAAGCACTCGTTCAAGAAAGCAGAGAAGAGCCTTCCTCCGTGTCTTTTTGTAACAGAACTCGATACTGGAAGGGAGCGCATGTAACACCGTTCTGTGTGGAGACATTCTTAAAAGCATCAGTTTCTCATTAGTGTTCTATGTTTCTGTTAACAGGAAACAGAAGGGAAAGGAAATGTTCACACAGGTAATCGCGCCTGCTTCGTGCCTCATTTGGTTGCTACCCTACTGAAAACTCTTGGCTTGCAAATGTAACAGGGATAACTGAAAGCAATTGTGAAGCCGTTACAGCACAACCATGAGGTGCTCACTCTTGCTAACATTTGACATACTAGAGGAGAGGAAAACATTTCTGTATTATGAAAACTCTGTGCTACTGCTGTGTGGATTGTATGGTTTGGGGTGTGATCTGCCATGGCCTTAACCAAGGCCAGCCAGCTTCTTTTTCTTAACAAAGCCCAAAGTTTACTTTTCCTTTGCTGCTTACTTGGCAGGGTGAGCTGGGGAGAGGGGGCAGAGGGGCTGCTTCTCCCTATCTCAAGCTCAAGATAACTTCAGTGGCTAAATATGTTTTCCCCGTGACCTCTAGGAGCAATACCTCCGTGGCTAACAGAGGAAGAGGATGGAAGTAAACAACAAATCGGACCTTCGTACGAGGAATTTCTCAAACAAAGTGAGTGGGTTGTATAAGATTGCAGTTAACCTTACATTCACTTTACCACACTAAAGAATCAAGAGCTATTTGAAAAACTTTTGCTTAACGAAGCATTTTCTTTAGAAGAGAAGCAGAAGCTGAAAAAGCTCCCAGCGGAGCGCGTTGGTGCCAGCTTTGACCATACCTCTCAGACAGGCGACAGTTGGCTCCCTTCCTTTGGGCGGGTTTGGAATCACGGCAGGAGGTGGCAGTCCAGGTAAACTTCAGGGCAGCATGGACCGATGCTGAAGGGAGGGTGTGCGGCTTCCTTCCACGCAGGCTACTCACAGACCGGGCTTTGTGGTAGCAGCAAGCGTAAGGAGACGTCTTACCGCACCACCGAGTTACCCCAGGCAGTGCACAATTCGGGCAGAGCATCGCTCTTGCCCGGGAACAGCACATGTGTGACTTGCGAGGTGAAGCATGGTCGCTGGCGGCTGCGGCCGCACACGCGAAGATGTCTGCCTCGTTGAGCTTGGCTCATCTTTCAGACCCATGTGCTGGTGCATATCCACACGCTCATCCCCCTGGCGCCTTGTAATACGCTAGAAACCTGTCAGCTAGCTGAAGAGACTGCTACAAGCTCACTGAGATAACTGAAAAAAAAAAAAAAAACAACGGAGCGAGCTTCCATTCTAAAACGCTACGAATAGTGCTACCTTACTTGTTAGATGAGGCGGCGTTCGTTATCTCTTTCTAAAGGCTGTTGCATTCTGACTTCTGCCCTCTCTTTCAGGCATCAGTTTAGAACTGAATCGGGGGAAAAGAAGAAAAAAAGGTGATGAGAAGCACTGAAGAAGTCACGCTGTGACTGTTGCGGAAAGGTGGACTGCAGGTTGCTGCAGCTTTTTGGTGCTGCTGCTGCCGCCGCCAAGTTTAGCGCTCTTATTTAATATATACGTTTAGATGTGTTCAGTCCCCTGGAAGGCAGGGCAACCACTGCGTAATACAGAGTTGAGCTCTGTTACTGAAAGCTACCCTGCCAGGGGGTGTCGTAGCAGATCCAGCCCCCTGTAACAGACACGCAGCGTGTATCTGGGCACCAATTTCTCGAGCCTTAAGGTACACAAAGGCAGGTCCTGCCAGCAGGGAAGGTCTCCTGCCTATGCCGTATCTTCATCATCAGAAAGCCTGCCTTACGCAGCGCGTGCTGCCAGTGTCCTATGCTGATGTGTAGCACGACGGCCTGTTAAAGAAATAAATTTTTGAAAAATAAACTTTTCTTTTTTTTAAAATAACCTGTGTTAGTAGACCAACTGAAACTCATTCCAGGTGCAGGGCCCGCTCTGGGGGCAACAGATGACATGTGGCCTCATGTTTTCATTTTAATTTATATTACTTCCACTTGGTCTGCCTTGCCTACAGGATGACTAATTATTCCTCAGTAGAAGAAAAGAGGCCTTAAAGATCTTTGCTGTGGGCAGTTCTTCTTTTTAATTTAAATAAAATACTTATAGCCTTATTTAAAATGGCTTATCTATGCTTCCCCGCTAGGCACGGACCTGACAGATGCTGCTGCCTTGTACACACGGAGATCTGTGGGCACAGCTTGTTTAGAGGGAGGTTAAATAAATAACGAAAATATCCCACCAGCACCTTCCGTATCTACAATGCAAGAAATGGGCTTCAATTTCCCTTCTACTAGAACCGAATATGGTTTAACATCACTGGCTGCTGTCGGTGATGCAATCCTTCCCTTTTCACAATACAAAAGCGTGTTCACGGTACATTTCTAACACTGTATAAATGCAAAAACTCGCTGCTAGAGGGAGATACCTGTGACCTGTACCAGAATCCACTATCAATAATGCGTCAATAACGAAACGTACACATTCTTGAAAAAGCAAGAAAAATTATTTCAATAATTTTATTGTGTGCATCTACATATGACACATTGTTGACGAGGTCACTGGAGAACCTGCAAAGCAAGAAGTCCCAAATCAGACAACCAGCTCAGAACAAGCTAGCACAAAGCAAACTGTCCGAAAGCTCTGCTCCAACAAGAACACTCGGACACGGCACCCTCCGACAGCAGGGAGGACACGTGCCCTCGTACACTGCAGCCCACAGAGACAGGAGAGCACACACGGCTTTCCCTGTCCGACAGGCAACAAGGACAAAAATCCCAAACTACTCTTTAATTCTGGAGAACTGACTTTTCCAGTAGCGCCACCCAGGAAGTCGCTCGGAGCGCGAGCGACGTCCTCTGAACGTCTGGAGAAACGGCCCGTCCAAAGCAACGTGGGAGCTGTCCATTACGCGGCGTGCAGCCATTTGTTAGCCCCTGACAGAGCGCAAACCAGCTCCTTCACAGAGCCTGCTGCCTCACCTGCCTACGCGTCCTCCCCTGCGGCAGGCGCATCTCCACCTTTCGTGTTTCTGGTGTAGATCACTTGGGCTCGGTGCTTGGACACCAGTTTGATCAAACCTACAAAAAAAGGAAATTATTTGAGTGTGCGCATCCTGGAGGACACTGGTGACGTTGTGCTCCCTTCTAAAGCAGCAGACTGGAGAATGTGTGATAGGAAATACCAGAGCACCCGATACTACACACGCTTATACGAGGCTTCTGTTCAGGTTTGGCAGCGGTTATGTCACAAACCGGCCTTCTGGCAGCACTTTCTTAGTATAGCAACGCCACCGAATGCAGCGGAGCCACCGCTCCTTACTTTGGAGCACTTTTGAAATGCAAGCTAAGGCAGTGGTGTGTCAAAACCATGCCAATTTACGTGTTTCGGATGCGGCACGAAATCTTCTAGGTGAGCAAAGAGAAGAAAACATCCGATTCAAGCTGCCTTCTGTTTTTCCACAGTTTTGAGTGCTTACCTTTGCTGAGCAGCTCCTGGAGGGCAGCCCTAGCCAGGGAGCCTCGAATTTTCAGTCTCTCTGAGACAACCGCAGGTGTGATGAGCTTGTAGTTGGGCACTTCTTTGCACAGTTTGTCATAGGTGGCCTTGTCAAACAGGACAAGGTTGTTCAACTTGTCTCTCACTTTCCCTTTGGACCACTTCTACTTGAAGAGAGGAAAAAAAGAAAACCCTGAGCCATTTTCTAAGCAATAACAAAAGACAGAGCTTTGGGATGCCTGCACCACAACATCTCTATCTCACATCCCAGATCAAAGGACTAAGGAGATGCACAAAGTCGCCTTTGTAAATGTACGTTTTGCAGATAATACCTACAATACATCCAAATAAAAAGGAGCAAAACCTTTTGTTACCCAGAGTTAACAAAATCGGTTCGCTCCTCTAATAACGTGATGGAACCCACGCCCCCACAGTGCCAGGAGCGCCCAGCCACCCTCT